ATATATATATATATATATTATACTAGTAGTCTAGTATAAAGAGGAAACAAAATAAAGTTAATAGAAGAAAAACAGTTGGATCTCAATTATGTCCTCATCTCCTTATCACCATAAATTAGGCATATTAAAATTAATATTGAGCTTATAAAAAAAATTAATATTGAGTTAATAACCCAATGTTGCATTCTTAATAACTACTTAATTTTAAGTTTAAAATTTTAATTTTAGAGATAATTTAAATATAAAAAACTTATATAAAGTGTGTTTTTAAAATTATCTAAAATAAATAAATAATCATAGATACTAAAATGAAACATTGGTCCAAATACCCAAGAAAATAATAGAAGTACCTTTTTTTTTATCCTTCTTTTTCTTATCAAAGAAGAAAATCCTTTAACTTTATTTTCGACAATCAAATCCCATAAACCTTTGATTTATAAGGGTACGTTTACTAGTATAATTCAAGCGTATGTCAATCAATGAACAAATCAAAAACTTCATTAGCTAATTCATCTAGCACTTTTTTGTGTTGTATTCAGTGGCAAACCTTGAGACAATTATTCAAAAAAATTTAGGCAAAAATCCTTTTAAGCTTATAAACTTATCCCAAAATAAAATTTAAGCTTCTAAACTAAAACAAAGAAAATAAACCCTTCAATTCCACTAACAATGCAAACAAGTCATTCTCAAAACCACTCAAATGGTATTTCATGTTTAATATTACTTTGAAAGCATGATCACTCATGAATGAGAAGGGTTTATTTACATCGTTAATGAAGTTAGAGGGTTATCTACTTTATTTTTAGTTTGGGGGTTTCGATGCTATTTTGGGATAAGTTTAGGGGCTTAAGTAAGGTTTTTGCCAAAAATTTATGTGCATACTTATAGTTTAAGATTTATTATATCCAAAATCAAACAATTAATTTCCTTAATTCAGACTTTGAAATTTAATATTTTACTATATTAGTTCAACTTTACTGGATATAATTTTTAATTTAAAACATTTAAATTTAATTTTTAATTTTTTTATTAAGATGTCATTTAATACTATTATTTATGTTTTATCCTTATTTCAAATACAACGTATATTATACCAAAACAACTTATTTAAGTACTATAATGATTAATTAATGATAAATATGAAATTTTATTAATTAATTTATATATATTTAAAAAAATCTTAGACAGAGGGAGTAGACAATAATTAAACTTAAGGACCATGTTTAAATTTTCTTTAAAGCTAGAGGAAAATTTTTGTTGACAATCAAAGCTAGAGAGGAATTTAACTTAACCACTAAGTAATATTTAAACGTTTCAATCCTTGATTGGTTGGCCATGACCCCTGCTCCCCCATGGCGTCAACATCCTAGATGTTCAACAACAACTACCACTTTGAATGCACAATAAGTGCTCGACATGGGCTTTTAGGTGAAGTAACTCTCCTAATTTCAATTATTACCATGTGTTTTTAAGTGTACATTGACGAAATAATTTCTTGGTACATTAAATAATTAATTATATAATAAAAATATTGTTTTAATTTTTAATCTCTTTTTTTTTTTTTTATCAAAATTTAAACTTAAAATTTTAATATAAAACCTCAAGTTGTTAACTACTAGAACATGGCATATCAATTTTTTTGGGGTTAAAATCAACGGAACATGATGAGCTTAAAATGTTTAGTCGTATCAGGAGTCCCACAGAAGAAACAGATTCCTCTCTTTTTGGTCAAGTAGTTGCTGCAACAGAAAAAAGTACCAATGTCATTTACTGCTGCCATTTAACTTGTCTTCTTAGAAGATCTCTCAGTTGAATCGAGGCTCGATGCTTTCAGAAAAAACATCCGGTAATTTTCTTTTGATGGCATTACAATTATGCTTAAATTGTATTAGTTAATTTTTTCAAAGCTGTAATGAATCAATAGGAACATGCACAAAATGAGATAAGCAACTTTGTCATTCTAGTTTTACTACTGTTACCATCAATTTTATCAAACAAATTTGGATTGTGCTAAACTTAGCAGTAGCATAAAAGAAAAATGGAGCAGCCATTACATTCCTAATAGAAAATTTTTAGTTTAAAAACAGGTTCAAGTACAATACGGGCAGATACAGAACTACAGATTACAGTGAAAATTGTTCTGGTTTGCAGGATTATTATAGACTTGACCTGCAATACCAGAAAGAGGAGAGAATTATCTTGTTTGATTTGATATATGCTGAAAACACAACAAATCGAGAAAGGGGTAAACTTGCTCATGATAGTCGAACAGCTATTAGCAAACAGAGCAATACACAAAAACGATCATCCATGGCTGCTAAAAGATGCACACAAACAGCACTTTGGGAACGGATGATCAACTCGTCTGCTTGATGTTTCATCAATCATGGGCATGGCTGGAAAGGCCTTATGTAGCCAAAAACATGCTGGTTTCTTAAAGCTTTTCCTCGTCATCCTCCACTTGTGGTGAGTTCTCTGAAGATTCCTCCATGGCCTTCTCCATTTCCTCATCAATCAAAATTTTCTGAGATCGGCAGTTCAGACTACAAAATGCTTTGTCACCCCTGCAAGAAGTGAAGGGATTAAGAACATAGTTTTAACACTGAATTTTCAAGCAATAATTTCTCTCCCAGCAATGGAGCAATTTGGTTGTACATACCTGTATATGTAAATATCTTTTCCCTCTTCAAGTTTCTTGTTACAAGAGTAACAGAAGCTCAAGAATGCATTTGAGGGATACAGAGTGACTGAGTTTTTATCCACTGGAGGAGATTCAATCTTCTTCTTTTCATTCCCAACGGCACTGCTCAACACATTGTTGTCACATTTGAAAACGCAGTCACCATAAATGTGAGTTGTTTTGGGGATAGGCCCATGGGAAATAACACAGGTATAGTCCTCAGAGAGCTCGATCTCACTAGCTGAAAGAAGTTCAGGAGGTCCATTTGTTGTAGGTGAAAAACTGTTCAAATTTGGGCTTTCTTGGATCACAGGTGAACGAGAACCAGCTTGGGATGCAAATTTTGCCCAGGAATCAGAGTTGCTGTTAGAAAGACCAGGTACAGCCAAAAAAGACCTGCAGGAATCCAATGAACAAGAAAGGAATTTCCCAAGTGGTTCAGCATCAAATGGGGTTTCTCCGATTTCAAAAACAACATCGGTGATACCCTTGTTTATGGGAGATTTCATCTGGGTAAGAGGGGAAAGCATATAATTTTTAGGCAAAGATTTAGCTGCCTCAAAAGAATCAACATGGGTTTCACAACTTGGAGTTCTAATCCTCATCTGAGGTCCAAAAAGGATAGTCTTACCATCTGAAGATGACCGGAGAACTTCTCCGGCTACTTTGTCATCATCGCAGAGAGAATCTACAATGCCTAAGCCCACTTTGTCATACTCCCAGTTCTTTTGATGCCCATTAGAAGGTGACAAAGGGGATCTGAAAGGACTCCCAAAATTTGAAAACACCCTAAAATCTAGAGGAGACTTAGGGCTCCTAACAGAATCAGAATCTGAATAACCTTTTGCATTTAACCCCAGAAAGAAACCAGGGACACTGAAAAATGAGGTGTTTCTGTTTCTGTTCCCTAAAACATCAGATTGGAAAAAGGACTCAGACCCAGAACCAGACATCGTTAGATGACTCGTCTGCTGATCTTTCTGATTGGACCTGCTCCTTTTCCTCAGCATTTTCTCAAAACCCGTAAACCAAAACCCCTGTACCAAAAATCAAGACTTTAAATGAAAAAACAGTAGACATTTATCAAAGTAGGATTAGTTAGAGTTGCATTGCACAACAAGGATGGAAAATGCCAGGAAAGTTATGAAAAGACTGCACCTTTGGACCTAACTAAAGAGAATGCCATGAAGATTTCAAGAAAAACCCAAAACACCTAGAAGGAGTATTAACAGCGGTACTAATTACAAAGAAATTTCATCTTAATTACAGTATTCAGCACAAAAATTACAAAGAGAGACTAAGAGAAATGCCATTAATAGCGAAAATCCCCTAAACACATCAATGGAGATCCTACTTCCAGATAGATACCATGCTGATTACGGTATCTAGCAGAAAAATCATGAAAGTGAAAGCTTTAAGAACTTAAATCAGAAAATAGAAGGAATGCGCTTACCTAAAGCAGTGGGGTGTGTTATGTCTCCTTAGAAATTGCACAGAAAGGGAGTTTGAGCCTTTGAGGTAGAATCACAGAAGCGAAGAGACCCGAATGAAGTAAAGGGAAGGTATTAAGAAAGTCCGTGTCTTAGTGAAACTTGAGCTGCACTCCTCTCCCCTCTGTTACGTGCTTCGAAATCAGCGAAGCAGTGGAGCTTCTGAAACACTCCTCTCTCTTGCTCTAACTTTGTCTCCCTTTTCTCCTTCACTCCCCCTTCACTCTCTTTTCTCACCGATTCCTAGCCTTATTCTTTTTCTTTTCCTTTTTCAAAATTTAATATTAACTCGTAAAAACAGCTTAAATTTTTATTTTATTTTTTTATTTTATTATTTAAACAGTCAAAGTGTCCTCTCCAATTAGTTCATTCTTAACTCGCAATTAATACTTCCCAGAAGATTTTAAAACCACACCAGACGCCACCATGTTATAATAAAAGAACTTAATTTCTTGAAGTGTTAGATTGAAACCTTGAATCTTGAAGTAAAAGTTTATATATTTTTAAATCCACTAGCGCTCGTAGGAACATGCAAGGGGATTTCTTTTAACGAAATGTAAATTTTTTACGAAAAAATTTCAAATATTTGGTCCTTTTCTTAAAATAATGTACATGAATAATATAATGTTCTCTGAAAAGAAAACTAGTGATTATATATGAATTTTTTTTCAAATTTAAATTTATATTTAAATTTTGAGATAATAAAAAGATAAGATTACTTAAAGATGTATAGAAATCTTTTCACTCTTTTAATCCTACAATTCAAAAGGAAAAAACAATAAATGAGTACAATTATCCATTTTATGGTAGACTCAGTACAACATTATTAAACCAAACCAAGGGCAATCTTAAAATTGGTCAAAGATCAATGGTAACACTTTTTGGTCCAAACAAGGCCGGATGGACTAACTTTCATGCCTATCTTCAATTAAGAAGGGTTTGATAAAATTTTAAAAGTAATTATTTAAAATTTTTATTTTATAAATTTAAAATTTTGTTAAAAAATTCAAAAACACATTTTAAATAAAGTTTGAAAATTTTAAATTTATAAATTTCTTAAAACTTACTTTAAAATTATGTTAAAACTTAATTATTAAACTTTTCTTTAAATAATTCAAAAAAATCACTTTTAATTAAATAATTTATTTAATTTGTACTTTTAAATATAAATTAAGAGTATATTACATATATTTTTGGCATGAATTTATATTAAAAAATAAAAATTAAATTTTAATTTATTAATTATTTAATTAAATTTATCTATTTAAAATTAATACTAAAATTAATATTAATTTTTATTTTTATATATATTTATAATAAAAAGTCCACTTAACTTATATGATAAAATATAAATTAAAAAAATTCAATCTTTAATGACCTAATGATCACCTCTTAAATAAGTGTAGTAGATATAATGACCTGAGTTCAAATACTAGCTCTACTCCTCTTCTCCTACAAAATTTTCATTGTTTAAAAAAAATAATAATAATAATAAACTCTTAATTAAATTATTTTTTAAATCTTACCAAACAACCTTAACAATGGTTACCATTTCAACTCGAAAACACCCCGAACCGACTCGGTCGCCGTCTCTCCTTCCCACTTCCAACTTCCGACTCTTCACCAGAACCTAACCAAAGTTAAAATCCCTAACTCAAAGAGTCAAAGTTATGATTTTCCTCTGCGTTAAAATTTGTTGAGAAGTTATTTTTGTAGAATTATTTTATTTTATTTTATTTATATAATTAAATATATTATTAAAATAATTAATTTTTTTAATTTCACTTGAGGTCATTATATTAAATACATATAATACGTTAAAGTTATATAAAAAAATAAGTTAAAAAAAGTTTTTATGGCGCCACCTAAATTTATTTTTTTAATTTTTTGTATTTTTTTGTCGTTTTGCGTGACTCAGCTTTTTCAAGATTTTGTGCTGACAGTGCGATGGCCGACACGTGTATTCCCAAGACTCGCATCCCCATACGCATCCAACGGTCCAGAACGGAGATTCGGCTAAAATGGATCGGTAATCGACGGTTTCGCTTTCGACGCCCCAATCTTGTCGGGCCCGCCACACGTGTTGGTCTACAAGTGAATGAATAATATTTGAAAATTTTTAATTTAAAAAACTAGGTTGCCTTATTCCAACCGGACAAAGAATAAATAACATTATTTCTTCTGTCATTTTGGAAAATTGAGGGTTTCTACCTCCACAGAGACCGAAAAATTCCATTCGAATTAAAAAATACTTTTATTTTCTCTAAAAATTGTTTGGGGCATCGATAATTGATTCAAGAAGATACGGTCTTTGGGCAAGTAATCATGCATTTCATTTCTCTTACTGTTGATCAGTAAAAAGTAAGGTTTTTTTTAATATATAATTATAGGTTAAAATATATTTAATATATTTTTAATTATTAAATTATATAAAATATAAAATTTAATTTTAAATTATAATTATAATAATTAAATTAATATATATAACTTATGTTAAAATTAAATCAAAATTTAAAATTTTCTATAAGTTAATGACTAAAAGGTAAGGGCATCTAGTCCTTCGGACCAAGTGGTCTTCGACCACATTGAAGATGCATTCTCCCTCCCCCTTGGCAGGGTTCAAACCCATCCCATGTAATATCGATCAAAAAAAAAAAAAAATGACTAAAAGGCAAGGGCAGCGGAGGAGGTGCTAGTGTGAAAATTTTTGAAATTAGTATATATATTTTTTGCCTTTTAAAAGTTTAAACATTATATTTACTTTGTTAAAATTTAAGATATTGTCATTTAATTCTTTGTAATTTTTCATATTTAACAACTTAAATCTAATATAATTTATAATATTTGTATTATAATTATTATTTTAAATA